AATAGGCTACTCTAATCCAAGAGTCCCAAGGCCCCACTAAGTAGAGGAAGAAGCCTTGATATGGCGTAGAAAGTGCATTCTACAAGCACACAAATCGAGTTTATTTATACATGATAAGAACACCCTTGGGAGAGCCACAAAAATAGAGCACTAAAATAACACATTAACCAATAACAGTCAAGGATTTTCCGGGAGGGAAATGTAATCTCACGGTCAACTGATCAGTCCATGCGCTAGAACATAGAATCTAAAATTAAGACCTTTATTCAATCATATTCAGATGTAAACTTTAATAAGTAGAATAACATGAGACAAGTGAGATGTAAAAAGTTCACAATATAAAAAATAAATGAATGTGTATGTTTGTACATGAGTAATTCGATGTTATAAATAGTTGGCATTCGGTGAATGAATATCTCAAGCATTTGTTTACTAAGCATAAGCATAAAAGTACAATTGCAAATATTTCTAAAAAAGTTTAGTGCGTATGTAAATTGAGTACATAGTTGTAATGTTAAAATATTCAAATAAATTTCCGTCCGAGCACAGCTGCATATAATTTCAACAAGGTGAATAAATATAGAAGTTCTAATTATTTGTTAATGAAACAGAGAATGATGTAGTCAACAAAAGTGCAACTATATTTTACATCAGGAACCATAAATTTTTTCAGTCACCTAAAGATGAATTATATAACCTTAAAAAATTTATGAAATGATCAGAAAATTATCATCACTAGAACTGATCTTGGGGACATAAATATCATTATGAGCAAATCAGACTAAGAGGAAAAGGCTAAAGGACATCTTCAAGGTGACCTTTATGAATTAGTTAAACGAAAACATGAACAATACTTAATAAACTTTGGACTGAAATGAGCAGTCTTACAGTCTAATAAAACAAAACTAGGATCGTCGTTTTGGTTCACACTTTATATTCAAAAAGTTGTAATCCTTGTATAAACTCTATCGGGCTAACAACGATTCACAAGAATAATATACGAATAAGATCAATAGCTGATTTAACGAATTCGCTGACATATAAACTAGCGAAATACATAACTAGGTTACTCATACCATCTAGCAACTTGGTTATACATAGAAGTAAAAAATCAACAGAGTTCAAGAATACAACTTTCGGCTTTCGGATTCGAAACTAATGTTGTAACTTCAGTACATACTCATTTAAAGAATAAACGTCACACAGATGCCATGGAATTTCAAATTCCCTGTTCGAAACAGTGATATTCGAATGTAAAAGAAGAATATAAGATATGATTTTGTTGAATAACATAAATTATCTTAGTAAAAGGGAAAGCATTGTCATAAATTTTCCGTATAAGATGCCTGAACAATGCAAGGAATACAAGCAATTAAACAAACTAAAAGTGATAACTGCGAATAATGAATTAATAGAAGTATAAAGAAAATGAAAGTCTCCATTTTTCTCAATGTGTTTCAAGTGCGAAAAGTTTATTTTTTCGTCCTACCTTGTTCTTTTCATATTGAAAACCGAGTAAAATGGCTTAAAAAGGTTCCAAAATCTTGGTTTAAAGTAGTCAGTTTGATTGAAAATTGAACTGAGTATAATACACAGTCTTATGCATAGATATATATAAACTTTTTCTAACTACTTAGTTTGAAACAGTCATTTGTATTTCATAGAAAATACAAGCTAAATAAATCACTTGATTTGTTGTTATTGGTAGTTTGGATCTTCCTGCTGATTGTTAATACTGCAATTAACCATTCTTATTTGGCATATGTGCATCCTGTGCGCTGATTGTCTCATTATAGCCATCATGACACATTCATTACAGAAATAGATGGAGGCTAGCAGTGGGATCTAGGACTTGCGTTTCGTTCTATTTGGGACTCATCAGCTGAATGTAGTTGCTATTCATTATCATCCATCTGTGCTTATAATGCTTTTAATCTAATGGCCATATCGAAGGAGTCCACACAGGATGCATTAAATTCCTAGACATCAGTTGGAAATTGCAAACTACCGTTGCAAATAAATCAAACTTCTCCGCATTGCACAAGTTAGTAGCTGTCTAGACCCAATGGCTAAGTGGATAACGCACTGGCGTTTGAATCTCAAAGTGAACATCAACCCTACGATGCAGGTACATCCAGCTGAAGAGCCCGACATGGAGCGAAGAGCGCGTCATGGATCCTGCTGTTAGCCATTATCCATCTCTGTTTATAATCAAATCAATGTGATATTTTATCTAATGCTTTGAAAACTTTAATTAGTTTGTTAGATGACGTACAAAGAATACATTAAGACTTAGTTAAATGAAACTTAACTAAAAAAATTTAAAAGGAATTTAAATTTTTAACCCTTGCAAAATATGAATAGAGAACTAGATTCACAAATTAAATGTTAACCTATAATGATTATTATGAAGATAAATTCAAGCACTGATGTGGTGAATGTTACTTAAAAGCGGCATATAAGTAGTATATGGTATAGCTTAAAAGTCACTACCAGAGAGAAGAATTAGTTGAGAAGACAGTCAGTAATCTGTTTGTTTTGTAAATGGATGACTGAAGATAAGGTGTACATATTTAGTTAGTGAACTGCGTCTTCTCTAAATACAGATGGGTTACATTTAATTTTGAACACTTCGTTCATCAAACTGATGTAATTTATACTGATTCATGATAAGCTTTGTGATACTTTTTTTTACTTCATTTGGATTGGTTGTTTGAATATTCTCATTGATGTTTGGTGCTCTAACTGACAAGTCCCAAATAGTCCGAAACCAACATCCTGGATTCCAGTGCTAACCTTTATCCTCCTCTGCTAATAATATCCATTGATTTTGCTGAGTGATTGCACAAGACATCAAGTTAAAAGTCGATGGATATGAAAATAGTTTGTTGGGGATGTTAGATCCGCAGAACTTGCCTGATAAATGCCTTATTTCGGATTTCACGTTTGAGAGCATGGGCTGATCAGCTGACCTTGAGATTTCATTCCCCACCACGAAAATCCATGCCTGTGATTGGCTGCTGTGTATTTTAGTGTGTTATTTTCGTAACTGTCCCAAAGACGTTTCTATGATGTATAAATAAACGAGAGTTGTGTGCTTGATTGTATTGTGATTGCTGGGTGTTTGTAGAATATACTTCCTACGCTTACCAAGACTTCTGTTTACAGCTTGGGATTCAAGGTAGCCTGCCTGGACTCTGGTTCATTGTCTCGTTCGTGTTTATCGACTAAGGTGAACTCGTAATAGCTTCAAGCATTCCTAGCGACGAACATAACATAGTTAAATGATAATTTTTAACGGTTCTTACCTTTTTGTTCCTACTTTTATTTTGTTCTAGTAAAAAGTTCTTTAATTACAGATCATTAAACATTTAAATTGAGTATAGTTCATTTTTCTTATTTACTGACCTTTAAATACATCCAAAAACTTGAATGTTTTCGATCGAATAGTAGTCTAAACAATTCAGTGAATTACTTTTTTAAAAGTTATAAGAAAATGACTAAAACCTTTATGAATGGAAATGGGTACAAGAAAGCATTCAATGTATTGATCTGTTTAAGTTCAATCCTCACAAAGAACCTTTTTTTAACGAAATAGGTTAACATAACATTCATTAAAGTAGATTTACACGTAATCTATCAATTATAACATTCCAATAGAAAAGGAATTAAA